CCTGTATAGCAAACAGGAAAACATCAAAAAAGAGCTCTCAAATCTGGAGACTTTCATAAAAAACCAACCTTCCACATGGCTGGACTTTACTAAAATAAGATGGGAGATTTACATTACACACTTCACCTTTCTACAGAGGAAAAAAGACAGTAAGCTGCCTAAACTTCTATCTGCCACATGAGGCCACAATAGTGGTACCCTTAACTCACCCAGCAATATCATCAATCTATCCAACTACACATTCAGCCCGGCAGAAGAGTCTGTCCTATCTCGGGGGACTCTCTTTTTCACCATCACCTCTACAGACAGGATACAGTTCTGCGGTGATCTGGAAGCCTACTTTTGCTGTCTCTGACTCAAGGAATACTTTCAACACAACATTAAACAGGGCACTGGCACACAGATACCCTACCACCGACAGCACAAGAAGAACTACTCCACATGGACTTCTCCTGAGGGTCGAAATGACAGACTGGACCTATACATAGAATGCTTCCGCTGACATGCACAGGCAGAAATTGTGGAAAAACTGCATCGTTTGCCTCATAACCTCAGCCGTGTGGAACATAATGCCATCCACACCCTCAGAAACAATTGACATTATAATCAAAGTAGCTAATAAAAGAGGTGCTGTTGTCATCATGAACAGGTCTGACTACCAAAAGGAGACTGCCAGACAACTCTCCAATACTACATTTTACAGGCCACTATCCGCTGATCCTACTGAGGAATAAACTAAGAAACTACACCATCTGCTCAAGACATTCCCTATACAAGCACAGGAACAAATCTACACAAACACACCCTTAGAGCCCCGACCGGGGTTATTCTATCTACTACCCAAGATCCATAAACCTGGAAATCCTGGACGCCCCATCATCTCGGGCATTGGCACTCTCACTGCAGGACTGTCTGGATATGTGGACTCTCTACTGAGACCCTACGCCACCAGCACTCCCAGCTATCTCCGAGACACCACTGATGTCCTGAGAAAACTACAATGCATTGGTGATCTTCCAGGAAACACTATCCTAGCCACCATGGATGTAGAGGTTCTCTACACCAACATCCCACACATAGATGGAATAGATGGAACAGTATCCCTGATGATGCCACAGAACAACTGGTGGCTGAGCTCTGTGACCTTATCCTCACACACAACTATTTCAGATTTAGTGACAATATATACCTCCAAACAAGTTGCACTGCTATGGGCACTCGCATGGCCCCACAATATGCCAACATTTTTATGGCTGACCTGGAACAACGCTTCCTCAGCTCTCGTCCACTAGTGCTCCTTCTCTGCTTACACTACATTGATGACATCGTCATCATCTGGACCCATGATAAGGAGGCTTTGGAAGAATTCAACCGAGATTTCAACAATTTCCACACCACCATCAAACTCAGCCTAGACCAGTCTACATAAGAGATCCACTTCCTGGACACTACGGTGCAAATAAGTGATGGTCACAAACACCACCCTATACCGAAAACCTACCGACTGCTATGTCTACCTTCATGCCTCCAGCTTCCATCCCGGAAACACCACACGATCCATTGTCTACAGCCAAGCACTCACATACAACTGCATCTGCTCCAACCCCTCAGACAGAGACAAACACCAACAAGATCTTCACCAAGCATTCTTGAAACTACAATACCTGTCTGAGGAAGTGAGGAAACAGATTAACAGAGCCCAGCATGTACCCAGAAGCCTCCAACTATAAGACAAGCCCAACGAAGAAACCAACAGACCACCACTGGCCATTACCTACATACCTCAGCTAAAACCTGTCCAACGCATCGCCGTTTGTCAAGCCCTGATCATCAGTGATCTACAATCCATCCTGGACAATGTTCCCTCACTTTCACAGGCCTTGGGAGGCAGGCCAGTCCTCGCCCCCCAACCTGAAGCAAATTCTCACCAGCAACTATACACCGCACCACAGTAAGTCTAACTCAGGAACCAATTCCTGTAACAAACCTCGGGGCCAACTCTGCCCACATATCTACACCAGCGACACCATCACAGGACCTAACCAGATCAGCCACATCATCACGGGTTCATTCACCTGCACATCTACCAATGTAAAATACACCATCATGTGCCAGCAATGCCCCTCTGCTATACACATCGGCCAAACTGGACAATCCCTACGTAAAAGAATAAATGGACACAAATTAGCTATCAGGAATGGTAATATACAAAAACCTGTAAGAGAATACTTCAATCTCCCTGCACATACAATAGCAGATTTAAAGGTAGCCATCCTGCAACAAAAACACTTCAAGAACAGACTTCAAAGAGAAACTGCTGAGCTACAGTTCATCTGCAAATCTGACACCATCAGTTTAGGATTAAACAAAGACTGTGAATGGCTAGCCAACTACAAAAGCGGTTTTGGCTTTTCTCTTGGTGTTCACACCTCCACATCAGCTGCTAGAAGTGGGCCTCATCCTCCCTCACTGAATTGACCTCGTTATCTCTAGCCTTACTCTCGATTGGTAATCTTTCCTTATGACTGTATATTAATACCTGCCTCTGGAATTTCCACTACATGCATCTGGAATTTCCACTACATGCGTCTTTGCCCACAAAAGCTTATGCTCCAATAACTATAAGGTGCCACAGGACTCCTCATCGCCTTTGCAGATTCAGACTAACACAGCTACCCCTCTGATACCACAAAAAGAAACATTTTCTGGACATTATGTGCAGATAAATATCCACAAATACACAGACAACCAATTGTCATCCACTACAGTTTTTTTGGGGGGGAAGAGCATTTTTAAACAAGAGACTATTTCACTCAACAGAAGGGAACAAAACCCCCTCCTTACTAAAAACACCTTGGCTATGTCTACACTCATGGCTTCTTGCGTCTGAAGTAGGCAAATGAGGCTAAGCGTGGAATATCACCGAGCCTCATTTGCATACATAACCAGCCACCATTTTTGCAGAAGAGGTTCTTGAGCCAGAAGGAGCTGTCTACACTGCCCCTTTCTGCGCAATGCCGTTATTCTTGAAAATAATCGGCATTGCGTAAGAGGGGTTTTCTTGCGCAAGAAGGAGCAGTGTAGACAGCTCCTTCTGGTGCAAGAGCCTCTTCTGCAAAATGGCGGCTCATTAGGTATGCAAATGAGGCTCAGCAATATTCTACACTTAGCCTCATTTGCATACTTCTGACGCAAGAAGCCGCGAGCATAGACATAGCCCTTGAGTGGAGTCTAGCTTTCATTTTACCTGGATAACAACATTACATAATAAAGAAGAGCGCTAAAGTTGCAAGTTGTCAAAGACTTCCCTGCAACACCCTTTGGAATATTTCTCATGGGCTTTGATCAAATGTAAATTTGGGATGTATTGTAAATGCAATACTCTTACGGATAGCTAGTTTTAAAGTTAACACACACAGAGTAGGCTACGTAGCAAATACAAGTTACTTGAAACCAGCAGGCTTGCTAGCAACAGTCTTTTAAAACAGTACAACTTTCTTTTTTAATTGAATTCCGTGACCCAAATAATAATAAATACACAAATAATTCTCCCTAGATAAAATGTGGCATATTCATCCCCTCTCAAAGCGGTAAAAGTATTTGTAGGAAGCAGTGAGTGGAAATGGAAGGGTTTAGTTGTATGTTAATATATTATTCTACTGTTCGAATTGGGAGACAGATGAGTTAGCACCATACACACATTCGTCTAGACTAACCTAGAGGTAATACAAATGAAAATCTATACTAAGGATGTGAACAAGTAGTCAACTAGTCGATTAACCAATAAGCCTAGGTTAATTTAGTCAACTACTCGCATATCTCCCCACCCCCTTGCTAGCTCTGTATCAGAGGCAGCAGAGGTGGGAGGGGAATGGGGGGAAGAGGAGGGGAGCAGGAGCTGATGCTAGGGAGAGACGGCTTAAAAGCCAGTTCCCTTTGAGCACTGGCTCCATGGTGCTGCCTGCCCCCCACCCCCACGCTACTGCCTCTATCAGGTGGGGGGCTGCTGCTGCAAAGCAGCCTCTGTCTGCGGCACTGACAGAGGCTGCTTTGGGGCAGCTTCCCCCACTCCTGAATCAGAGGCAGCAGTGCAGGGCAGCAGACAGCAGGTCCGCGAGGGAAGCTGGTTTTTAAACTGGCTCCCTCGCAGACTGGCTCCCGCCTGGCACCCCACGCTGCTGCCTCTGATAGACCGGCAGCAGCGCATGGTGGCAGAGGGCCCCTCGGGAGTGGGGCTGGACTGTACTATGTGCCACCCCATCCCCGGGGACTATAGAATAGTCGACTAACCACTAAGAATTCATGCGGCGAATTGACTATTCAAATAAGCGATAGCAAACACCCCTAATCTATCTATCACCATATTGTAGGACAAGAGTCAACAAATACATCTATTGCCAATGAAGAATACTGACTGGGATTCTCTCTTCCCTGGCTGCATTAAGATTTGCTTCCAATTACAGCTGAAGGTGAAATGGACTAATCACAGCACTAGTGAGACAGAAGACCAGAATGGCAACTATTAAGTTCCCATTTTAAAGATCTAGCTAAGGGAACCGGCTTGCCAGTTAACTCTGGCGACTAATGCCTGCCCATGGTGGTGAGGGAGGGAATGAGGGCAGCTGGCTTCAGCAGTGTTCCTAAGCATGCTCACTCCATGCCAGCATGGCCAGTACAAGCCAAGTAGTAAATGAATGGGTTAAGGGATCCTTGGCAGGGGGAGGGGAAATCCTGCCCCCCCCCCCCCATGCATCCTCCTTCCACTATTCCATTAGTGACTAGTTTGTGCAGCACTAATTGGGCTGCTTTTGGAAGATGGTGTTCCACATGAAGATGAAGTCAATATAAACTACACAATGGCTTGGCATTAAGTACTGTATTGCCTTTTCTAAGAACAGAAATGTCTTCCTGTAATTTTGAAAATACATATTTTTGCAAAGTATTCTTAGCACAACACGATGTAGAAGCAATGTTAAGAAGGCTAAAAAGTCATTACTGCATTTATTGATATAGAAACACCGGTTTAATAAAATTGTTTTTCAAATGCTTAACATTTTTGCATGCCTCATGAGTTTAGAAATGACAAAAAAATTGCTTTACACACTTATTTCTCAACTTACATTAGATTTCAACAGTTTGACGCTTGTTTCCTTATGTACTTAGTATCCTATCAAAATCTACAAAGAAGTCACATGACATTTAAAATGCAGACTATGTGAAAAACAAAAATAATCAGTCATCAGAAAGGCAGGTAATAGACTATACAAAAAATAGTATGCTACAGTTAATCTACTAAACACACAAATCTACTGTACTAAACTACAGTGCAAATGCTTGTGCACAGGGAAAATCATATTTACAATTCCCCTTTATTTACAGGCTCTAAACTACACTATTTCACAGTTATAGTACACATATAGATTTTCTACCATGTTTTTTGACAATGGGACACTGACAACCTAGAACCCAAATTGCTTGTGTATATATTTGCTGTATTCAATTATACATGGGAAAAATGTGTTTCTATGTGTTTTAAAGAGCCTTACAAAATCTAGCAAATGTTATAAGAAGGCAAATCTGGTGAAAATCTGACAAAATCTCTTTTATAGTTATAGGGAAAAACATCAAACAGGGCCAAATGCAAAGATAAAGGAACAGAAGCAACACATTGGATTATTCATATAAACATCCACTTCCAGTTGTTATTGACCATTTCAAAAATAGGAGACTTCTACACAGTATTTGTAGAAATGCCTTCAATTAATAAATTGGATGGGGACTTAGTAGCCCAAATCGAAAGGCTGCTCAAAGGGTGAAAATCTGTCTTGCCTCTGGAGAGAAAGGCATATGTATCTATGACAAACATGAAACACAAATGTTTAACAGAATTGAAAATACTATCCTCCGAGGCCACAAAAAATGCAGTTCATAGAGATTTTATTGGACAGCCATACATTGTTTTCTATAGAAAAGACACGTTAGTTGTCACAAGTACAGAGTGGGTATTTGGAGACTTCTTAAAAGGGACCGAATAAGCATAAAAGCATTGCTTGGACACGTAGGCTAAATTCTGCATTTTCAAAGTGTTGCACAGGATTTAAACACACAACTCAGTCAATGCAAATTGTGTGACTCAGTACTATGTACTGAAGTCCAGGTTAACATGTTTTGGGCAAGACAATCTTCATTCACTCCTCTTAGCAAGTTGAGGAGACAATGCAAAATGAGATCAAAAATCAAGCCTACCAACTGCAGCTAATAAGGAAATACTATTCTAATATAGCCGGATTATCTACTGATAGGGTTATTATTTTGTTAACCTAGGAGGGATTCGAATTAACGCAGCCTCTATTGTTTCCTTCTAGCCCCCAATACTGTACATAGATTTTTTTTTCAAATAGGAAAAATTAATCAAGCAATCTTCCCCTCAACACATGACTATAAATCTCCTACCATCATTACAGGAAGACTTGAGAATAAAAATTAGAATTTACACTCCATGAAATTTGCTGGCTATCAAGTCTTTCTACACAAGCTACTTAAAGAAACAAAAATGAAGTGAACTAGGAAGGTTGTAAATCTAGTTCCTCCTAACCTACAAGGACAAGACATACATAAACAGCATTGTAGTCTCCTTGCTACAGCAGAACCCCACATGGGGCACTTAAACATTGTGTATCAGTAGCATAATCACTCACTTTGGCTTCCTAGCCTGTTTCCACTTTCTGCACAACCTCCGAGAAACAAAGTTTGGTTCATTTCCCAGGACACTGGCTACTTCAGTCAGTCCAAGCTAGCCATGCCTGAGACTGCCTGCCTTACTCTATGTTCCGCACAGGAGTCACACATTAACTCATGTGAGGTCTCCTGAGTGCACTATCAGAACCAGCCTTGTTCAGCTCCTTGCTATGTTTCTCCTCCTCCTTGCTATTTTTTTTTCTGAATTTCATTGTAAACGATGCCAGAGAAAACAGCCACAAACCTGATCACCCTAGGACACTTGGCAACTCGGCTGATCAGTTTAGCAACTCCGAATTAAGTTCACTCTCCTTACTTCTTTCTAAACCTTACATAGCTGGAATCTCACCTCAAGCTGGATTTTACAAGGAAGCTGTTTTCTATGAAGGAAGCACCAACTCCCTGGCAAACATTCTTTTCCCCCACATCGAAAAAAATGTAAGGTTTAAAGCTACACTCTGACCCACCAACTAAAAGGTGGCCAGTGCTTTGCTTCAGTGTTCAAAACCTGGATAACCCAAAGTAACTATCAAAGTCTGATTTTGTATCTTTGTGCTTTCCACAGATTTCTGGAAGAAATACGGTTTACCAGGTCAGACTGTACCAATATTGTTCTTCAAAAAAGAAACCAAATGTATACTCAGTTTGTGGCAAAGTTAGTAGGAGAGCATGGGCAATGAAGTCTTTAGAGCACTGTCTAAGAATATTTAAAAACTTAAATTTGGTAAAAGTGAACCAAGAGATTTCAATAGACATCTCTGTGCAGTTAGTTTTCAGGGAATTAAATCCTTCTCACTCTAAGCAACTGAACACTTCATCGGCTTGCTTTTTAAAAGGAAACACTGCTGCAGGATAAAACTATAGCATACACTCAAGAAAGAGAGGAAACTTAAAAAAGCTATGATGTTTAAGTATACAGCAGCCACATTCCCCAGCCAGCCTACTGCCATGTGTGGTCATGTTAACAGGCAAGCAAGTGGTACACATTTTTGTCAAGCCCTACAAAGTATTTTATTTTCATATCTACCTTTCTGCTTTCTATGAACAAGAAACTTATTTTTCTCTGTAATAAAGCAGGTAATATTTCAAGGGATCAGGCAAAGGCAGACTCAAGACCTTCTCTCTCAGAAAGTTTACAGGGGGTTCGGGTTTCAGTTCAGAGATACCCTTTTCCTCCTCCTCTCTCCTCTCTTCCTCGAGCTCCTCACAGTTGTTGTTATCATCTGAGGCATTTGAGATGCGACTGGCAAAGACTTCTTTATCCAAGAAAACAATGGTTTCCATGCGACGGCGGCGAACACGCCTTCGTTTGAACCTTGGAGGGTTTTTCAGCCCATTTCCATTTTTGCTCATTGTTTCTTGATGTATTATCTTTTTAATAGTTCCTCGGATGGCAATGCGAGCTAGATCCTGTAGGCTGCGGACAGTCATTGGTGCTATAACACAATGAAAAAAAAATCTAGCAGCACAAGCTTTACTCAGTTTCAGACTATATCAATTTCCTGTCATGCTTATTTAAAAAAAGCTTTATTTCAATCTGTCAATTCAGATTAAACTTTAGCTTTTCCCCAAAAAACTTGTGATAGGCACTTCTCCTTTAATCTGAGCACAGAGAAGGAAATGAGAGTAAAAGTTCAAACACAAAATCCCAGTCTTTGCATAAACTGAAATAGGTAGACACTGGATGAAATATTTAAAATAGAGATTTAGTATTTTATACTCACATGATCAGGGAACCTATTTTATGCAACAGTGTTTTAATTTTAAAATTTTAGACTTTGAGATTGCAATTTAGACTGTACATAATGTGGAAGAGTTTGTTTCTGGACTTCTCAGTAGCATGAAAAAAGTCTACTCCCATTTCTGTCGCTGATTAATTTCATGACTTTGGGCAAGTCACTTAAGAATGATGAAGAAACTGACAAAAGTTATCTATTTCAAAATGTGTAGGCTTACATCATTAGCATATGAAACCTGCTTCAAGATCCTTGGATAGAAGGAGCTAGAGGCACCTGACTGATAGCAGGGGTCTCAAATTCATGGCCCAAGGCTATCTGCAGCCTGAGCAGTTCCACAATCCAGCCTGCACACAGCTGCTGGCACACAAACCTCTGTGGCTCTGGAGGGTCTCTACACCCTTCCCTGAAGTCCAGCCCCTGCTCCGTCTCTGCCGTGCCTCTTCCTGCCCCTTGTCTGCTCTTTCCCCCATCACACCCCTTCCCCAAAGGATGCAACTTGGCATGAGGCTGCAGCAGGTGTCGGGTCGCCCCGCACTCACCCCGGCAGCAGGAGCTGCCAAAAAGCAACATAACACAGCAGCCTCGGCTCTGCGGCCATCTCCCAGGCCAGCCCGGTTGCTCCAATTCACCACAGTGGCAGGAAGCGGTGTGCCCCAGACCAAGAGCGGGCTGGCATGGGAGATGGCGGAGCTGCAGAGCAGGCTGCTGCATAGCTCCATTTCTCCATGGCTCCTGCTCCATTTCTCCATGGCTAACCTGAGAATGAAGGACCATCCCATCATTTGGACAGGTGCGGCAGCTGCTGCCGCCCCACCCCTCCCAAGCATGGGGCCCAGGGTGGCTACACCGAACTGTCCTATGGACGAGGTGGCTTTGCACACATCTCCCCCAGGCAATAGGGACATGCCAGCAGTGGCGCAGAGCTAGCAGACAGAAGCCACTTAGCACCACTGCTGTGCTACCAGTGGTGGCAATGGAGTCTCCGGGGGTGGAGTTAAATCACCTGGGGGGGCAGCAGACAAAGCTAGGGGATGCGGAGGGAGGGAGGAGCACAAACCAGCAGGCAGGGCTGGTAGATGTGTGGGGTGGGAGGAACACGTGGAGATGCACACATGCCCACCCCCCAGAACCCTGCCACAGAGGGGCACTCGTTGGCCCACTTGCAGGATTTGAAGACTGGCCCTGGCCCTAAGGTAAATAGAGTTTGAGAGCCTGATACATAGGGTGTACACCCACCCTCTTCAGGGGCTGAGGACTCTGCACCTCTTTTGTGCAGCAATGGTCGATATCACTGCACAGTTCTATGTCTCTCATGCAATATAAAGAAAAACTGCACTTGCATACATGTATCCCTGCACTGAAAATTCTGTTCCATTGTGGATTTAAAAAAAACACACAGACATTCTTCTGATCTGGGCAAGGAAGGGGGAAAAAAATAAAGTATGTAATACTTGCAGGCCTCCTTGTAAAGGTTGCACCTCCGAAAATTGGCGCACTCTGGTTCGGCAGGACCACAGATACTCCTGGACCAGAGAGCTTGGAAGCTTAAGGGCAGGAGAGCCAGCTGGCCCGGGACAACAAAGTTGGCAGCCCAGCTGGGGAAAGTGCATGTTTATGGCTGGGGGGGGTGGCAGCTGCGGGGCGGGATTCTCCTAATAGGGCCTGGGTCCTCCAGCAGCCTCTTGGAGCGTGGGGTCAGAGCTCTGTGGCAGAAGCCAGAGCTGGTGCTGCCCAGGAAGCCAGCAGCAGCTGGGAAAGCAGCCCAGCCAGTTTGGGGGGAGGGCAAGACAGGGTGTCTGCTGGGGCAGTCTGCCAGTAGCAGGTGACGGGTTTGGGGGCCAGTGGCAGGAGACCTCCCCTGGTCCAGCAAATTCTCTCGTTTGGGACTGGTCAGGTCCCGATGGTGCCGGACCAGGGAGGTCCAACCTCAAGTAGACACAATGCAATGTAACCTCTTGCACAAAAGGCTTCTTGTGCAAGAAGCCTGCAGTGTAGACGTAGCCTAAGATGCCATGTATGACTACATGGGCAAGGCAGTACTGTCTGTCAAACAGGAAGCTGAAAATGTGAAAACGGAGGGAAAATATTTTAAAATACAAAGACACACAATTTCAATTTCATAGAGCACACATTAATATTTTTGGATTTGTTTTGTAACTTGCTTTCCTACAACATAACTCTTCAAATATGTTGAAAGAAAAAATGGTGTCCAGCACACTATGGACAAAATTGAACAGCCATCAAATGAATGAAACAGCTTGCACAGTTTTCACCAGGAGGAGGAAGCTGCACCTCAGCTGCCTAGGAATAGTATGCTTGGATAAAAATCAAACTAACAGCCAAGGGGACAGCAGAAAGAAGAGCATATATGCTTATAAATATTTTTACTTACGCAAATGAACAAGTTTTGACTTCCCTGAATCTGCATGGTTGGGTTGAATCAGAGGAGCAAAAGAAACAGCAAGGATCTTCTTGGTTTCCCACGCAGCAGGACCAATACGTGTTATCTTCGTCAGCTGCATTAAAAAAAAAGTGTTGTCCACTATGCAAACAGTTATCGACTGCTAATTTGTTATGCAAAGAATGAACAATCTATTGTTTGCCTTTTAGATTTCAGGCAAAGAGAATCTTGATATCCCATAGACATTTATTCCTTGGCTTCAAAACAGTTATTGCAAACAATATTGGTTGGTTGTGTTGTGTGCATAGAATTAAGATCACCAATTCATTTCCCATAGTGTAGGTGATCTAACAACTTCTGAATGGTAATGATTTCTGCAGACTGCTGACAGAAACTAACTACTTGGAGACAAGGGGCTCCATGTCACTTTCTATCCTAAACTAAGCAGTTCCTTGACTATACATTTCTGTTTGAAACAGATGTAAGAATTGCATCTCTTGATATGTTTGTTTAGAAAGCTTTAACATAGCTATTCATAGTCTGAAATCAACAGTGATTTCTGGCAAACCATTAAAAATGACAGAGCATTAAAAAAACTGGTATCTGGCAAGTTGGGCTAGTAAATAACAGCACCATAATCCTAAGAAAAACAGACTCCACAGGCTGTTGCTGACACAAAGAAGGCAACAAACAGATAAAGTAACTAGTCTAATAATTGTCTTGTTAGTTTTGCACTGTAGAAAGAGGGTAGGCCTAGAAAGCCCATTTTGTATCAGCAGCAGTTTTGGCTACAGGCTGCTGTTTACTTAACCGATGACTTGCAACTATTTTGAATACTTCCTGTTTGGCAGAGTAGGCTGACACATTTTCCTTGTCCAGTTCTCACTTGCTGTATCTGAAACTCTGAACAAATTTCCTACTAGACAAATCTCCAACAGTGTACACTATAAATAGAGAAAAACAAACAACTAAACCCAGATTTATTCCAGCAAAAAAACTTTTTTATGTCTTTAATAGTGAAGGAAAAGGTTTTAGCTAATCTTTAACTTCTTAGTTCAAGTTTTTAACTGGCCTTCTTAACACCTCTAATGTTTACGTGCATAAATCAGGTATATTTTCAAATACCCAGAAATTACCCAGTTTAGGTGTACAAAATGCTCACTGGCACTTCAGAATGTTGGTATATTGGATGGCCCTTTAGAAGATAATTTGTGAAGTTGACTCAAATGCTTAAAAGAAATGATCAAACATTAAGTATTCCTGATTTATAATTTAAAAGTTATTTGCTGGTTATAATAAATATAACAAGACACTACACTATTCATTTGCAAAAATCTATTTATGAAGTAGTTTAAAAACAGAGAATCAGAAATTCAAGCTACGGGTAATTTGAAACCAAATTTATAATTCAGTGTTTTCTCCCTCTTCTAGCCCCAAATGAAAAATATGAAAAGATGTAAGATTCATATTGTTACAACTCAACCCAAAACTGAAACATTACCTTCCTTTTCCAAATACTTACTATAAAAATATTTTTATGCACAGTGTTAATTTACCACTGTAAAGCAGAAACTGTGCTACGATACCTCACTTCAACAAACTTTGACTGACACATTCTTGAAGAAGTACAAAAATGAAGTGTTAACAACTTAAGAGTAGTTTCACAATTCACTTCAAAATTAAATGCCAAAGCCCTGAAAAAGGACTGTCTGGTAGAAATATGCACACTTTGTAACAATTAAAACTTGAGATGTGATTGGTTCCGGGGGTGTCGTAACTCGAACCCGCATTTACGATAGGCGCCGGGCGCCGTCGTAAATGCAGGCCAAGGACGCAAGTCTGGGGTTTCTGGCCCCTTCTGCACTTACAAAAATGGTTGTAAGTGCGGGGGGTCAGAACTCGGGTGGTCGGGGGCCTCCTGTAATTCAGTTTCTGGAAATTGCTCTTTTTATTCCTACTACAGACTTACTGTAAGAGCTGATATGCCAAACAGTTGCCTCTAAAGAATGTAGTGAGCTACAGACTAAATAAGAATAAAGAAATCAAAATCACAGGTAAAGAGGCACTCGACCTTTTCCTCAAGTGGCATGACAAGAATTCCCCCAACTTTCAGCAGATTCTTCATGTAGTCCTCATGTTCTTTTTGTACCCCAGCACCACAGTAAACACGGTCATACTGAGTAGACTCTGGAGAGATCTCTAAACAATTGCCAGTAACAAAGGAAGGCTCACAGAATTCAAATCTGAAAAAGAAGCAGTCCAATTATAACACTTGTGGCTTGGTGAGAAAAGAAATTTCATTGACGATTTTCCCTCCTAAGACCCAATTTCCTGAATTTCAAAAAGTTACTTTCTATAGAATACAGGTTGAAACTCCTTCTGGACCATGGAAGCTGCGGCACTAGACAGCCCGGGTGGAGAGCTAGCGCCTGAGAGCTCTGCTGGCTGGCAGAGCAGCGGGAGCTTGACGCACAGCAGCGGGGGTTCCCAGCAGAGCAGCGGGAGCCTCATGCGCAGTAGTGGGGCTGCCCACTAGGGCAAGGGGAGCCTGGCATGCAGAGGTAGTGGAGCTGCCCGGTGTGGCAGCAGGAGCCGGGAGCTGCAGCGAATGCCCAGTGCACAGAGGTGGGAGGGCTGCCTGGTAGGGCAGTGGCAGCTGACAGGGCAGCAGGGGTCAGCGAGGAACCAGCTGGGAGGCCAGTAATTGGGCAAGGGTTGGAGGGGGCTGGGGGCAAGAAATGACCGGTCTGGCAAAATCTCTCATCCAGGACTGGTCAGGTCCCAAGGGTGCTAGACCAGGGAGGTCCAACCTGTACCAGAAAAGGGACACAATCTGAGGCCCTCTAGGCTAGAATGATAATGAAATTACTCATATATGAGAGTTTCCAAAGATGTCAGGTGTATGTATGATCTTAACACATATCCTGGATAACTGCTTATGCAAATAGTCAGGATTGGGACTGGTCATAAAATTACCCTATTTGTGGGCCCAGTTATAATATCTGTGCATAAATATAAATATAACTCATGTAATTTGAACGCTAACCTCTTTTAAAACTGAAACCAGTATGTCTTCGGCTAGGTTTTCCATACATTTTTCCTTAACTGGCTAAATAGGTTTCAACACTAAGGGTGCATCTACACAGCAACGTTATTTCGAAATATCATCGAAATAATGGGTGGCTTATTCCGGATGTTGTAAACCTCATTCCACAAGGAGTAATGCCTCTTCTGAAATAGCTATTTCGGAATAGCAGTACAGGCAGTCCCCGAGTTACGCGGATCCGACTTATGTCGGATCCGTAGTTACGAACGGGGATTTCTCGCCCCGGAGAACTAGAGCAGCGGGCCGCCTGGTCCCGCTGCCCGCCTTCTCCGGGGCGAGAAATCCCCGTTCGTAACTACGGATCCGACATAAGTCGGATCCGCGTAACTCGGGGACTGCCTGTAGTGTGAATGCGCAACTGCTGCTATTTCGAAATAGCAGCAGTTGCGCATTCACACTACAGGCAGTCCCCGAGTTACGCGGATCCGACTTATGTCGGATCCGTAGTTACGAACGGGGATTTCTCGCCCCGGAGAACTAGAGCAGCGGGCCGCCTGGTCCCGCTGCCCGCCTTCTCCGGGGCGAGAAATCCCCGTTCGTAACTACGGATCCGACATAAGTCGGATCCGCGTAACTCGGGGACTGCCTGTAGTGTGAATGCGCAACTGCTGCTATTTCGAAATAGCAGCAGTTGCGCATTCACACTACAGGCAGTCCCCGAGTTACGCGGATCCGACTTATGTCGGATCCGTAGTTACGAACGGGGATTTCTCGCCCCGGAGAACTAGAGCAGCGGGCCGCCTGGTCCCGCTGCCCGCCTTCTCCGGGGCGAGAAATCCCCGTTCGTAACTACGGATCCGACATAAGTCGGATCCGCGTAACTCGGGGACTGCCTGTAGTGTGAATGCGCAACTGCTGCTATTTCGAAATAGCAGCAGTTGCGCATTCACACTACAGGCAGTCCCCGAGTTACGCGGATCCGACTTATGTCGGATCCGTAGTTACGAACGGGGATTTCTCGCCCCGGAGAACTAGAGCAGCGGGCCGCCTGGTCCCGCTGCCCGCCTTCTCCGGGGCGAGAAATCCCCGTTCGTAACTACGGATCCGACATAAGTCGGATCCGCGTAACTCGGGGACTGCCTGTAGTGTGAATGCGCAACTGCTGCTATTTCGAAATAGCAGCAGTTGCGCATTCACACTACAGGCAGTCCCCGAGTTACGCGGATCCGACTTATGTCGGATCCGTAGTTACGAACGGGGATTTCTCGCCCCGGAGAACTAGAGCAGCGGGCCGCCTGGTCCCGCTGCCCGCCTTCTCCGGGGCGAGAAATCCCCGTTCGTAACTACGGATCCGACATAAGTCGGATCCGCGTAACTCGGGGACTGCCTGTAGTGTGAATGCGCAACTGCTGCTATTTCGAAATAGCTCCTCCCTCAGGCCCATTCAAAGTAATCATTCCCCAGTGCTTCCTGGGGCTCTAAATCGAGGTAGCACGTCCACATTAGGAGAGCCAGCCTTGGACTAATTTTGAGGCTTCCCTGTTGTGTAGACGAGTTATTTCAAAATAAACTATTTTGGAGTATTTCTTCCAGAACAGCTTATTCCAAAATAAGTGTGCAGTGTAGACATAGCCTAAGAGTGAGATGCTGTCCACACTGAAATCAATGGGAGTTTTACTATCCATTTCAACTGAGCCAGGTTTTCACTGTGAATTCACAGTTCAGACAATAATTCGTATACTAGAGTATTTCTCATATAGTTTAAGAAAAAAAGAACAATTTTGGGTTAATATTTGATTTTGCAGAATGGTCAGAATTCACAAAGACTATAACCACCCCTACATTTGATGTGTCAATAATGACAAAATATACAGTTGTGCCACCTTTGGTCCTTGGAGACAGCCAGCCGACTAAAATATGTTAGAATTACAAAAGAAACAGACTTCAAGAATAGGGATATAAAAAAGGTTAGAAAAAATTAACCGTGGAACCAAGTCAGTTACACAGTCCATGCGCTCCCAGTGGTTGGTTGCCAATCCTGCCAACCCCATGGGCTGCCAGTCCTGTCAGCTCCCAGCAGCTCCCGCTGGGAGCCCACAGGGTCAGCACGCCTCCTCCAACTTCCCTTACTCCTCGTACAATGAGGGTTACTGGAGCTGGAGTAAGAAGTCCTCCAGCTTGACAGCACTTCAACATTATTTTTAAATAATTGCCTACTGCATAGACACAGACTGAGTTATTTTGAAATAATGTTGCTGTGTAGGTGTACCCTGAATTACCAGTTGGTCAGATGTAGAACAGTGTGCTTTTATAAATTATTTTTCTTACTCCCCTCAACGTATATAAACAATGAATAATTGGCCAATTTGTTTGACTACATAGTTGCTTCAGTGTTATGAAGTCATCAGAAGTTTGTACACAGACTTGGATACAAGGCAAATTTTATTAAAAGGATTTTAATGGGAACACTAGACCACCTATCCTTTTTGACAATAGTTTTAATATAAAATAGATGGGCCAGGATCTTATCTAAATGACCCCATCTTTAATACCTTCAACTCCCCCTCCTTTTGTAGTTGCATTGCAGAGTCACTGATATTTCTAACAGGCCTCTAGATATAACATTTCTTTCTTAGATTTTTTTTCCCCAATAAACCATATTAGAGCAACTTGGAAATTACTTTACACTCTTTGGTGGGATTCAGGCTGAGAGATCGCAAATATCATGGCTCAGCTATTTTTTGAAGCATATCTAACCACTGTCTTCCCCCAGCCCCCGCTTCCAATTTTTTTCCTCCTTCCCTCCTTTCCCTTATTTATTCTTGGCTCTGGACTTCCAACACTCTGGTCATCTGAAGAAGTGGGCTGTGCCCACGAAAGCTCATGATACCATCTACATGTTTTGTTAGTCTTTAAAGTGCTACTAAACTATTTGTTGTTTTTTATGTTTTCCTGTTGCAGACTAACTCGGCTATCCCCTCTGAAATTTTTTAGACAGATGGCTATCACCACTTCCAGCCTCAATACACTGGCTGTAATTAAGTCTTATTGCCAATAACCAGTTTTAGCTTCTCTTAACCTGTGTGGTATTAGAATGGCTAAGAATACAACAACATAGCAAAAACTTCTTAACCTCCCTCCTCCCACATACCCGTCAGCTTACAATGTTATTACATACTGCAAGCTCAGAAAGTCTAAGGAGCCAGTGTCCTCAAATCACCCTTAAATCTGGAGTTCTTGCGTATGAGCCAGGAGTGCTACCCAAAGAGCTACAAGGAGTCCTGTGGCACCTTATAGACTAACTGAAGTGTAGGAGCATAAGCTTTTGTGGGCAAAGACCCACTTCGTCAGATGCATGTACAAAGAGCTAGTAGTCCTTAGTGATAAATTATTAAATGCAAAATCATGAAGTGGATGCCACAGGTATTCTCTACTCTTACTTGTCAAAGCTGTCGCTTGTTCTGATGAAGTAGTCCAATTTTTGCTTTGCATACTCTATAACGTCAGAATGAAGCTCCACGCCATGGTTAACACCAAAAGGACCTGCAAGTTTAAAAAGAAAGAAAATGGTTATATGGCCAACGGGATAAAGCCCAGCACAATTGATTCCTGTTACTTTCTCAACTTGTTTCAGATAAACTGCTCCTTAAAAAGGTTTCTATAATTCAAAACTTTTGTTTTGAGATCTGCAGCGCCATTAACTATTACAGAGGGCTAGTGCCTGAACGTGAATCAACCTTTTGTGACTAGTATGCTCCTACTCATGCAGCAAACAGTGAGATAGGAATGCTGATATCACCGACGTACCACTGCTGTAGAAAATAAAGAATACACTGTAAATCACTAAAGATTAATGCAGTGGGAAATAACCAATACTTCTTCCAATAATACAAGAACAAGAGGTAACCAAATGAAATTAATAGGCAGCAGATTTAAAACAAATCAAAAGGACGTATTTCTTCACACAATGCAGTCAACCTGTGGAAATCTCTGCCGGGGGATGTTGTGAAGGTCAAAACTTTAGCAGGGTTCAAAAAAAAGAACGAGATAAATTCATGAAGGAGAATCCAGCAATGGCTATTAGCCAGGATGGGCAGGGATGGTGTCCCTAGCCTCTGTTTGCTGGAAGCTGGGAGTGGGTGACAGGGGAGGGATCATTTGATGATACCTGTTCTGTTCATTCCCTCTGCAGCACCTGACACCGACCACTGTCGGAAAACAGGATACTGGGCTAGATGAATCTTTGGTCTGACCCAGTATAGTATGAGAGCACAAATATTTTAATAAACAAAATGCTTAATGAAATGAATAAATTAGTTATGCCTAGGATCAAAACTTGGCAAGAGTTATAGCTCACGTGGTAATTTTAGCTAGCTCTAGAAATCCGACTCATTCCTCTTACAGGAAACTACTTTATTTGTTTTTAATTGAATAATATATAGTTCAAATTTCTGACAGAGCAACCTTTAAAGGAGAGAGCTTGAACTTAAAAAAAAAAATCTTTAAAAATGTTTTTAAAGGATTTTTCTGTTTGTATTACCATATTTATAAGGGTCTTTCCAACAAGGGAAAGCAGTTTGGCTTAAAACCACCACGAGATGTGTTGCCAAATGCAACAAGTAATTCCCACAGAACTAAAGTTGTTTATCTTTTATTTTTCAGTTATAATAATCTTAGATGCCACTAGTAATTAACAAGAGAGAAAAAACATCAGACCAAAAGTGATTAATAAGTTGGAAATATCACTTTCATCTAATATTATATTAGAGAAGTACAAAGGGTGAATCTAAGTTCCATAAAAACAAGGGAAGGACACTTACTTAGTATGCCATAAGTAAAATTTAGTATTCTGCATTACAGCAGAAAGAACTTGAACATTACAGGAATCTGAACAGAGCTTAGAACACCTTTGTATTACATCAGTTAGAGGCAATGCTGGTTAGCAATATTTTGATTCTCTGAAGTGCTGGGAGTCTAAATTTTACAGAAGGCAAAAAAGGAAGTATCATGGCTTCCAGAAGATTATAATATCCTAGGGAATTAATTGTAATTTGATTATTTTTGTTTTGAAGAGTTTGACTCTGCATTAGAAACAGATCAGTCCCCGTGACCTCCATATTTTGACAAACTGAATCCTTGTTTAATAAGACATAACAAGTTCAATCCAGTCATGTCATGTGACTTTACATAACACGATCCGACATAACAAAGAAAAACACATAATATGGCAATTTGCCTTCAAATATTTGAAAGGAAATTGTTGCAGAATTACAGTGATGTACAACTTAAGAGTACTGCTGCTAGGCACTGAAGACAACAGCCATACTAACATTATAATTAGAGCTATACAAATCCATCCATACTTTTGAGATGAGAGAGGCTTGCTAATTTTAAGGGGAAAATAGTTCAAAGGCCCTGAAGTTATAAATGTTCATATTCTAATTAAGTCTGTCAAATCTTGTTGCGAATCAATAAGTAAGTCCCAGTTCCATGACCATTCACTGCAAGTGGGACTAAGACTCAACTCCAAACTTTTAAACAATTAAAATTTCCAACCACAGCCAGGAGGATAATGGAGACACTCCTGCCATTAGCAGTTGTACTGGAAATCAGAAGCAGTGTGTAAGCAGTGACTTTGGATTTCACAAGGATCAATGCAGCTTGAAATTTATGTTAACAGTTCTCTACACACAACGATTACGGTCATCATGAGAATGTAAGGTGATTCGCTTCATTTTCATGTTTAACTCGGTGTGATCAGCCATGCTTTTATACACTAGAAGAGCTATTCTACTTACATATTTACTGCTATGTGTTTGTCTAGAGGAAGGAAAGGGAAAAAGGAGGTTACTAACTTTGGGCAACCACTATCACTCTTCTTCTATTAAGACATAAGACAATTTGTTAAATTGTATTTTGAAGCATCACCTTGACTGCACTCTGGTACTAACTGTAGAACTTGGTATCAGGGTACTGATTTTCTTACACTGGTATAAATTAGCTTGCAAGATCATAATCAGATCCTTTAAATGTATCTCAGACTGGCTACAATTAATTAAGAATAAATGGGGGTACAGATGTAGAGTCAGGACCCTCTCTGTCCAAACTCAATCATCAGTCCACACAAAATTGTCTCTTTCCACTCCTGTCACCTTGATCTTCCCCAGCAAACTTAAACCCGTCTCAATAGGAAGCCATGATAATTAGCTGTGCACTTCATCATCTGTTTTGAGTCTTCACTAGGTTTCCTGAATCTTGTTTAATTTGTCAAGTTTCTTTAATTGCACTTGGACCCAATTTAAAATCTTAAAATTAAAGAGAGGAATGTTTCCTACTATCATGTAAATAAAAGATAATTTAATCAATAATTAACCTGAAAAAGCTATTTACCCAAGATGAGTCCAACCATAGAACTCAGATAACCGGTTCCACTGCCCAGATTCAAGAACGACAGTCCTGGCTCTAGATCCAAAGCTTCCATCACCTCAGAGTAAATGCATGGTGCAGAGATATGAATATTTCCATGTTTCCAAGCCAGGTCTTTGTAAGCATTGTCCTTAAACTCCTCAGGATAGTAGTGTGCTCGATCAATGGCACGGAATGCTTGCTCCACCAACTCTGTCCGGATGTACTGTGCTTCTTTTAGGTTATCAATTAACTCATCGTTATCTTCTCCCGCACTCACTGCGCCTCCCATCTTCAACAATTTTTAGCAAGTTCTAAAATTAAACTGGGATGGGGAAGATGAGCAACAGAAGACATTTACACCATTATAAGCACTAAGGCAGCTGAACAGAAAGCAACTTAAAGTCCTAAAAAGAAGACAACTCCTTTGCAAAAATATCAACATAGAAACGTAAGAAAGGAACATATACTCAAAAGCTCACTTAAAAAACATTATCAGCTCTTAAAAACAAAATCATTTAGATCTGGTACCTGGAGTTTCAGAATCACAGACAGGGGTTGATGGGGGGGGGGGGGAGAGAAGGAAGGTCATAATATTCATATTTTAGTTGCATAATATCCTCCTCTAGTGGCACGAACTTTTTACTATAATAAAATATATGAATAGTATCATGAGCTTTCGTGGGTACAACCCACTTCTTCAGGTGACAAATATTTCAGATATTTGTCATCTGAAGAAGTAGGTTGTGCCCACGAAAGCTCACGATATTTTCTATATATTTGTTGGCTAGTGTCTAAGGTGCTACAGGATCACTGTTGTTTTTAAAAGTTTTTTGTAGTTACTGACTAACACAGCTACCCCCCTGAGACTTTTTTACTACCATGTTAGTCACTGTTTCCACTTAAGCAGCTCAGTAAGATTATGGATTCTAGTTCCCATTCATATTCATCCTTTTCCAGTACGGAGTCCAAGCACTCATAATAAAAAATAAGGAATACAAACATGGCTTGTGTTTGCTAATTTTCAAAGATCATCTAGGATACTTGTTTGAGTAACACCAGAAAGTGGTTGACAGACTGCAAAAGAAACAGGCAGAAAAAGGAATCAGAACGCCTTCCAAATTTCCTTTAAGGGTAAAGGAGAACATCACATGATGTTAAGTCCATGGATATACATTACATAAAATGATGATGAGAATCAAGGGGCACAAGCAGAAGTGGAAAAAAATACATATCCACAGAAGAGAGAGTAACTGTTGGAAAGAACTTTCCTCAGAATGAGTGCAATTTCTCATGGTCTCTTCTAAGAGTTAAGTGAGATCAACTGCCTTAGAAACTATTTCAACCCCATCTGGCCTTTACAAATTCATGACACTGCTGATGTCACTTTTTACAGACTCATAATTCATTTTGGAAAAAAGAACTCAAAGCACTTATTTTCTATGTAGGACACACACTCACACAGTACATCTTCAGCTTTTAAAGAATGAGTTACAGAGGGTAAGCACTTTAATTCATAATTCCAAATTAATCTGGTTGTTTCCTACACACTAAAAAGTTCCATTCCAGAAAGTACAATACGAATTTTCATTTGCACTGCTTTGCAGTGCTAACAATAACTGCAGAAGCAGCAATTGTAGTGCTGTTTTCTAGATTCAGTAGATCTGCCCACAGCTAAAATGTTCTACAAAATGAACTAGAGAAAAAAAATCATACCTTACCAGTTTCAAAAGAAATAAAAACAATTGCTGCAGGATCCAAGAAAATGTCAACACATCTGTTCTCAGAGGATGCGTCTAGACTGGCATGATTTTGCGGAAATGCTTTTAACGGAAAAGTTTTTCCGTTAAAAGTATTTCCGAAAAGAGTGTCTAGATTGGCACGGGTGCCTTTGCGCAAAAAGTGCTTTTGCGCAAAAGCATCCGTGGCCAGTCTAGACGCGATTTTGCTCAAGAAAGCCCCGATGGCCATTTTACGCATCGGGGCTTTCTTACGCAAAAAATTCCCGTCCTGTCTACACTGGCCCTCTCGCAAGAGGGCTTATCCCTGAGTGGGAGTGTCAAAGTATTTGCGTAAGAACACTGACAATCTTACATTAGATCGTCAGTGTTCTTGCGCAAATTCAAGCGGCCAGTGCAGACAGCTGGCAAGTTTTTGCCAGTCTAGACACACCCAGAGAGTTCTTATCCTACCTGTTTGCAAACAGATATGAGGCATGAACAACTTGACTCAAGTTCTTAGGAAGGACTGTTAGCCTGTTTAATAAATGTATGCCTCAAAGTGCATTAAAACATTAATAGGATTTTGGATATTTCTCCCCCACCCTGTTTTCAGGAAACAGGAATCTTCCCTCATCCCTTTTCCACTCCAGTTATTAATTTCTGAATAATAGTATGGTTGGTGGTTTGGTGCCTTTAGGTAGTATTCTTTGCAATTAATTACTACGTATAGAAAATTCCTTCCATCTCTTAAGACTTTGTTTTTCTTGGCTTTTCTTTGTGCACACTATTGTCTTGAGTATGTTTATCTCCTTCCCTCCATTCAGGCCCTTTTTACACTATTAAAATCTCCATGTTTAAATACAATAGCGAAGTATGGCTGTGGTCCTACCAGGGCTCAAAAGTGTGGCTTCCTGACAAGGTTAAACAAATCCTGTTTGTTTTTTTTTGCTTCAGTATCACAACCCAGTTTCAGTGTTATGGTTTTACAGTCCACTATACACTAGAATCCATCAAGAAACCACAAGTCCCACCTAAAACATTTTTATCCTCTGACCAGGCCTTAGCCCAGTTATGAGGACACCAACGTTTAAATCCACTCTACACACAATTGTTAATTTGTCACCTGGTCAGGGGACAATCAAGTTGTATCAGGGTCCCTAAGTTATACTGGTAGTGTAGATGAAACCTAGGCTGCAAAGAAGGATTTGAAATGATTATTTCCACAGCACAAACCAGTCTTCATGTTGCAGGAAACATCTACTGTACATGCAGAATTTTAAAACATACCCTAAAGTTATTTTTCCCAACAGCTACACATTTGCTTTCCTAAGCTGATAGCTGGGGGAAAGTACCTTTGATTATAGCTCTTTTAATTCTGTAGTTGCATTCTTTTGCAGCTCTTGGGCAGACTATGGATTTCTGTACCGATCAGAGCGTTCCAGGTCACATTACTCTGGAATGTGCCTGCCACAGTTCTGATCACTACCAGAACAGCGCGGTTTGTGAGCGGTGCACCCTCCAGGAATGGCGATGCCACCCACAATTTAGATGGTGCCACGCTCTTTCTTGCCTCTTCTGAGAAAAAAATAAAGAGTTGATCATCGGAGCAGTTATGTTTGGATTGCAGGCGCACACAACCATCTCCGAAAGGTTTATTACCAAGCCTGAAAAGAGCTCACCACACGCTTGGAAAGGCGCTCAGAGCCAGGCAAGGCATGGCCAGGCAGCTGGGTCCGACGGGTGGGACTGCCACAGCCCAGCTGGGCAAGGAAGAATAAGAGACAGGGACCCACTTCAGGGGGGACGGAGTCATGCCCCTCTCACTGACCCCCCCCTCACATCCCTCTGCACCCCCGTGTTACTTTCCCTGCCAGACCCCGTGACACGCGTGTGTGTGTGTGTGTGTGTGTGTGCGTGTGCGCGTGTGTATGTGTCTGCGTGTGTGTGTGTGTATGCGTGTGCGTGTATGTGTGTGTGCGTGTGTCACACACACGGCTGTGCCCCGTCTTCCCTCCTAGCCAGGCAACGTCCCTAAGCAGAGCGCACCCCGCCTCGGCG